CGTTTTTGCAGCATTTCGTGTTGTAATGAGATTGCTCGGAAACCTACTAGCTAGGATTTGTGACATGATGGTCCCCGAAGTTCGAGAAGTCAACTGTTTACGCGGTACTTGGAGAGGAAACATTTCGTTAAAATTTCAGCTTTCCAACTTCTCCGGTTCGTGAGTTTCTCCCTGCCAAAAAATTTCATTTGTCCGTACATAACTACATGCATCTGGGAGCTGAAGTTGATATCTTTGATTTTTACGGATGCCGGAAACATGCTTTAAAATTTCAGCTCTCAGCTTCCGTACCTTTCGAGTTAGCCATTTTTCCCCCAAGAAATTTTATGCGGCCACAGGTGAGAACCACGAATGCCTAAATTTCAGCCTCCTAGCGTTTTCGGTTCCCGAGTTAGCCGTCCGCGCGCCAAAAAATTTCACGGGTCCGTATGCGATAACCACGCATACCTGGGGCTGATTCGATTATTTTAAGTAGCACATATAGTGGGGACATCCCCTGAAAATTTCAGCCTCCTAGCTTTCCTGGCTCCCAAGTTAGCCATTTTCCCGTCGAAAAATCCCACGGGGCCATATGTGATAACCACGTATACCTGGGGGCTGAATTCGGTGATTTCAAGTTGTACATGTTCTGGGAACATCCCCTGGAAATTTCAACTTGCCGGCTTTCCTGGCTCCCGAGTTAGCAATTTTCGCGCCAGGAATCTTCACGGGGCCATACACGGGTACCACGCACGCCTGGAGGCTGAATTTGAAATCTTTGAGTTCTATGAGGACGGGGGACATGACATCAAAATTTCAGCTTTCTGGCTTTTCTGGTTCTCGGGTCAACGATTTTCCCGCCAAAGCTTTGAGGCGCTCGTGCGCTGGGCCTAGTTGTGCTTGAGGGTCGGTACTGCGGTGGCACTTGGCCGAGGAATTCACTGGTAAAATTTTGGCGCTGAAGCTTGCTTAGATGCTGAGTTGAAATACACGGACGGACGCGTGCATACAAACACACATACACACACAGGGCTCGTTACAGTATGCGTTTTCGCATATATGCAAAAACACTTAAAGAAAAAACACTTAAAAATTGTGCGCGGCTTTTTCGGTAACCTAACTTGTTCAGCGTTTTACTTCCCGAGCTGCACTGTGATTTATAGTTGACGGGGGGGCCGGATTCAAGTTGGCAGTTGATTTGGGGGTTGTCCGAATGGCTCGAGCAATGTAATTCAAGGTTGC